ATCTCCTCCGCGCAGACGTTCCGCCATGTTTTAGGAGGATTTTAAAGAAATTAGTGTTGTTTATGTGGTGTGCATGGAGAAATTAACCAGGTTTATTTGACTTACGGCAATCATAGACATACTATACAATTATATTAACATTGTTGAATATAATAACATAAATATAATATAATTAAACATAAATATAAACAATTACATAACCACACAAATCATATGTCTGTGTCCTCCTAAAACATGGCGCGCGTGCTGAAAAACTTCAAAGGCGGCATCTGAGAGTTGCCCTTCTGATTGTTTATTATTCTGTGATCATGCTATGAACTAAAGATAAACCCACGCGCACGCGATCAGTCGTGTGACGTCACTTGGCGACAAATGTCACCAAAAATGTTCTGTATTGTATGGAGTTTTGTCAGATTTAGTATTGTTTTTATCGTTTATCGTTTATCTTGTACGTTGACATCGGTTTACTGGGTAAACCATCTTTCCGAAGGAGGTTTACTTAAACCATATCTAGATTCTCTAATTAAATGTAGTAAACTGTACCATATTTTTAACAATTTTAACAAAGGGTCATTAAAATTAACCAAGAATTATTTAAAATCGTTAATGGATTTAGCTGTGTCAGTAAACGTAAGTTCAGATGTCAAACATCTTTGTTTTAGGTGTAAATTATATTTTAAAACTAGAAAATTGAATAGATATCATGATATAAGGAAACAAGGTATGCTCACTAGGTGGACTCGTTTTTGCACATTTCTGCGCCGACCAAAATCCACCATCTTTTCAATATGTCACATGCGTGTAGGGATGGTGACCTGATCCCGTACCAGTTACTTTGGAACATGTATTTTATTTATACTTGTGGAACTGATCCCTAAGACCAATATATTATAATAAACGAGTAGGGGTTTCATTGCATTTGTCCTTAATTTTTATCGTGCATTTCTCAACGTTTACAAAGCTTTAGATAAATATCAACAGATGACAATTGGCGTGAAGTAGACAAAACTATCACCATTTTTTTATGAACTTTTTATACAATCTCTGAATAACAGTAATTTAAGTATTTGAAGTTAAACAGTCATTTAAATAACTATAAAGAAATCTAACAAAATACAAATAATGTTGTCGTTATGTTTAGATATCTATTAAACGAATGATAACAAACTGATTTCCAAACCAGTATTTTTTAACAGGTACATTTGTTTGCGCATATCAGTTTGACCTGATCCACAAAAATACTTGGATCAACCACCTCTACATGCTTGACGTCTGCTTTGTTTTGCATTTTTTTAACCTTACTTTGCAGTGTATTGGAATTTAAAAGTAAATTTGTTTCGATTTTTTTAAAATTATTTTAGCAAGAGTCTTTTCAGATCATTTTAAATCTGAATTAATTGGATTAATGTAGAATATTAATTTTATTTTATTTAATTTAACTACCATATTTTTTATCAAATTTGTACATATTTGAATTCCCGCCTTCAAAATGGCGGATTTTGGTCGTAAACGCGATTGGCTGTTCAAAATAGATGCGCGTGAGCATACCATGTTTCCTTATATCATGATAGATATATTAAAGAAAAATAAAAAGTTAAGAAGAAGAAAATGTTAGCAATTGTAAAACAAATTGTTAAATAAACTTGTAAATTATTACAGTGTACTTTATTTTATCAGTTCTATTAAATTTTTATTTTAATAAATCAATCCATTGTATATAAATTTCCAAAAGGATGTTTAGTTCCTACTTTTTTATATAATTTTATTATCTATTTAAATTCTATTAATTTACTTTGCTAGGCTAACAGAGATGTATATATAACATATTTTTAAGTTTTAGTTGCAGATATTTTATCTAACATCCCTAAATATTTAAATAAAAACCCTCTCTTTCATATGTTTTACCGACTGTGATGATAAAAGGTTGGTGATAAAAGTGGAACTTTTATCACCAAGTGACGTCATGCGCGTCGACGTACAAAATTCGATTGCGAAGTGGGTTTATCTTGGAAGTCTTATGCCTGGTTGCACCAATAGATCTTAAGCTCCAGCTTAGCCCAGCTCTGCTTATAGCTAGGGCTGCCTTAACTCTCACTTACGTTGCACCATAATTTTCGATTCTAAAATATTCTTTATATTCTTAAAAATAAAAATACAAAATTTGGTTGATCGCCGTCGGACGGTTGGTCGTGGTCGGTCGATTAGTCTGAGCTGAGGCCTACCTAGGCACGTCTTAAGCTTAAGATATGTTGGTGCAACCAGGCATTAGTATCATGATACTAAGATAAGAAGATAATATATTGCGCATAAATCGTGACGTCATTGGAGAGTTTGACGTTCGAAATGTCAGTTTTTTGTATGTATCAATAAATAATCTTTAATAAATAGTTTGGAGATATTCTTATGTGTACGATTATTGTAATTACTAAACCTCTTAACTTATTTTCGTCTTGTAATTTCATCACAGAATGCATACAAATCCCATTTAACTTTAACAAGAATTCAAATTCTACTCTCCAATGACGGCATGCGCGAACACGACCTATTTTGTGCTACTAGAAGATCCTATCTTTTTATTATAGTATCATGGGTCAGAGAGAACATGAAAATAACCACGGTAATGATAGTGTTTACCAAATTTATGCTGAACACGATCAAGCTTGTCTAAAGATGTTTAAGGTCCCCATACAACTATTGCAATGCACTCCCATTATTCATAATAACGGCGAAAAAAGTCAGTAATAGTAAGTAAGTTTATTTGAGCTATTTCAGAGATATATATCTGAGCTATTTATAGTGAGAAGTATGAACTTTTATGTTGTATGTTTCCGACAATGAGTCTGTCAAAATATTCCGAAGCGAGCGAGCGAACTATATTAAAAATTTAAAAATATGAATAAAGTCATGATACTATGACTAACAAGATGGGATCTTCCCGTAGCACAAAATCGGTCGTGTTCGCACATGCCGTCATTGGAGAGTAGAATTTGAATTTTTGTTAAAGTTAAATGGGATTTGTATGCATTCTGTGATGAAATTACTACACGAAAATAAGTTAGAGGTTTAATAATTACAATAATCGTACACATAAGGATATCTCCAAACTATTTATTAAAGATTATTTATTGATACATACAAAAAATTGCCATTTCGAACGTGCAACTCTCCAATGACGTCACAACTTATGCGCAATATGGTGGCAATATCTTATCTTCTTAGTCATAGCCATCGACAATGACGTATAATATATAGACTACGCAGTCCCCTATTCTCGCTATAGAATCAAGTGTCCGAAAGATCTCGGCTCAAGTGAAGGTATGTTTATCACAACAGCGGCGTGCTCATTTATATGTTAATGACAATAATTATTATTTTTTTAATTAAAATTAAATATTTATGATTTCTTTTTGTTCCCGTCTATAAGAGAAATAATTATTTTGATAAAATAGTATGGCATTTTACTAAAATAGTAAGTAAATAACTTTCAACAATTTAAAATAAAATTTGCTTGTCACACAAAATGGAGAAAATGTTTTCATACGTCCATGATGTTTTCAAACACAAGATCAACTTCGTGATGCTTCGTAAGAAATCATGAACTTCGTGCATCTTCGTATCAAAACAATAAACAATAACAAAGGTATTCATGTTTTGGACACTTTTTAAAGCGTTCACCGAGTCTATATATTATACGTCATTGGCCATCGAGCAAAAAGATAAAAGAGGGAATGTAAAGGTAGTGGGGACAAAAATATTGTTAGACAGGAAGTGCTATATTGAGAGGCCACTTTAAACAAGGATAGACAGTCTCTTTCCTTGTTTAAGAAGTCAAATTTAGTTTGGTTATGTTATTGTTTGTCCCAACTGTCACATGAAATTTTATTTATATTGAAGTTTTTTACCAATTGTGTCACTTTTTAGACTATTATCGTTACTATTTAATTAAAACTTTCTTGTCTGAAAAATATTTTACAGCTATTGTTAACAAGTGTTGGAAAATTTAAATATAGCGCCTTTGCATTTCCGGATATGCCCGCCATCAGAGGCCACTTTTTTGGTCTCCTTTTCATAACGATTAGATTCCCTCTTTTATCTTTTTGCTCGATGGTCATAGCACAGAATAATAAACAATCAGAATGTCCACTCTCAGATGCCGCCTTTGAAGTTTTTCAGCACGTGCGCCATGTTTTAGAAGGAAACACATAACACAGACATATAATTTGTAAGGTTATGTAAATGTTTATATTTATGTTTAATTCTATGCAATTTATATTATTATATTTAACAATGTTAATATATGATACCAATGTTAATATCTATGATTGCCGTAAGTCAATTAAACCGGGTTAATTTTGTCTATGCACACCACATAAACAACACTGGTTCTCTCTAAAACATGGCGGAACGTCTGCGCGAAGGAGATGCGCGTACTTAATTTTCCATGGAGACTGGGCATTCTGATTGTTTATTATTCTGTGGTCATAGCACAGAATAATAAACAATCAGAAGGGAGACTCTCAGATGCCGGCTTTGAAGTTTTTCAGCACGCGCGCCATGTTTTAGGAGGACACAGACATATGATTTGTGTGGTTATGTAATTGTTTACATTTATGTTTAATTATATTATATTTATGTTATTATATTTAACAATGTTAATATAATTGTATAGTATGTCTATGATTGCCGTAAGTCAAATAAACCTGGTTAATTTTTCCATGCACAGCACATAAACAACACTAATTTCTTTAAAATCCTCCTAAAACATGGCGGAACGTCTGCGCGGAGGAGATGCGCGTACTTAATTTTCCGTGGAGAGTGGGTATTCTGTTTGTTTATTATTCTGTGGTCATAGTATTATCGCAGAATGTATCATGAACAGTGATATGTAACACAAGAGAGATAAAAAAAGTCTCAAGTGACAGTCAACAACTTCCTACACTCCCACACAGAGGACGTCACATGCGACAATGACATGCGCAGTAGCTTACCATGTGGATGTTGCTTGCGTAAAATTTAAAACGTCAATTTCGACAATCGAATGAATTTCCTTCTACAATCGATCAGTCGACCACAAGATTTTGCAATGGCGGATGTAGTAGACGAGGTGATTATGGACTCTGATGAAAATGAGGAAATTCTATCAAAAAGCCCAGAAGAGTGAGTACTTTTTATTTTTTGTTACATGCTGTTGGTTAAGAGTAGCTCTAAGGAAAATATACATCGCTTGTTATTCGGTCATATCTCTGAAAGTTCTAGAATAATACATTGTTTTGAAATTGTAGCTTTTTATGACCTATTTCGAAATTTTCATAAAAAATAACACTAAATCGTAAGTGACTTACAATGTTATCATTGATAATTATTCTCAATCACTTCCCAGTTCCTTATTTTAAACTGTTTAAACTTTATTTGTTTTTAAGGTCATGTACCTACAATCACGTTTTTGTTCCTCATTGTTATGTTATGAGAGTTGAATTGGTTGGGGCAATCTAGAATTAATTTAAGACATGTTATATGCAACCAACGCATTTCTTTTTATTTATGAAGTTGTCCAAAGTTTAGTTTCCTGTTATAATTTTTTCAAGATTTTAAAAATAAACAATTAACACCACACCAAAGAATATAGACGCATATGCCTCTATATTTGTCTATAATCTTTGACCATACATTTTTAGTGAATATTTTTTGTAGGATTCTTATTTTTTCCTTTGTTGACCTGCTCAGTTTACTTTCTGCCTTGATTGGATTGAGTACTGCTTTATTTTTTCAAAATTTTCTGTCTTTTTAAATACAACTAACTAGAGGGATATACATTGATATTGAATATATGGAATTTATTCTTAACGAGATTTATTTACCATCTTTTTTTTATAAAGTCTGATATATGAATATTGTCTTCCACTGGTTTTCACATTTTGGACTGTCCCAATCTGTTTTTGGTTTTTTATAATGCATGGAGGTCATTAGTTTTCAGTAGTTGTTCAATAGATTTCTCAGTTTCACTTGGACATCTTACTCCATCTTCATATTTTATCTGTATTTTAGTTTTGTTATTCTTGACACATTCCATTTTAAATGAAATTTGCTCGATAATGGCCTTATTTTCAAAGTACATTTCATTTTGCCTGCTTCTTGGCAGACATAATTAAACACAATATTGTTTATGGTTCCTTGAAAAGTTCTTTCAAGGTTCAGAATAATTCTTTTAATGCAATCTAATTTTCCAAGCAATAGCTAAGTATATGTAGATATAGAGTTTATATAGATATTGCTTGATCAACTAAGTACCTAGTAATTTACTTTACCCAATATAGACCAAAGTTGTTGTTCTTTACAACTTTCATTTCTTTATATTCCTAAAGTCTTTTTATAGCTTTTATTTTTATTTTGTTGTCCTTTAATAGGATCATTTGGGGTCCATTTATATTTAGTTTCATATTTGTATTTAACCATAAAAACTTAATTAATACTTATTTTGTTTCCTTTAAGCTTCTTTACAGTCTATTTTTAATACATCAAAATAAAAGTAGTATAAACAGTTAAAGAAAAATTGAATTGCACAATCTTGGCTGATGATCAACAAATGTTCTAATTTTGAACTGTATCTGAGGTTAATGCTGCTCTTGAGAAATTTTCACTTCTCATTAATTTTCATATTATTTTAAGAATATTTTTCATTATGAGAATGATTACTTCCAAGTTGCCTTTACTAAACAAATGAAAAAAGAAAGGGAACATAACAACAAAAATGAGTAGGAAAAGGATTATAAACATAATAATAAACACATCATCTTATTGAGTAGAGACCACTGAGTATTCACCCAATTAGAAATGATCAAAACCAGAAGTATTAATTAAGGTTGAATTGAACAGTAAAAATTCTACTTGAATTATGTTTCATATTTAAAAGCTTTTAGTATAATAGTAAGGTCCTAGTTTTGTATTGTTTAAGTTCCATACAATAATCATTTTTGTTATGATTGATAGCAGTATCTTAAAATATTAGGTGTTCCCATTATTGTAACGTCTTGCAGATCTAAAGAGGTTAAACTGTATCTTAAAATATTACGTGTTCAGTTATTGTAATGTCTTGCAGATCTAAAGAGGAGTTAAACAGATGTGTTTTATAGCCACTTTTGTTTACCTTTTCAAAAACACAGTCAATAGCAGAAGTTACTGTTAACAGAAAATTAATTAACAACTTACAATATGAAGATGGCACTGTGATTATTGTAACGAGCATAGAAGGCCTACAAAATTTAATAGAAAGTTTAAGTATGAATAGTGCTGAGATGGGAATTGCATGAGAATGAGCCATTGAATGGGAATGGAAATAAATACTAAAATAAACAAAATATATGCTAATTATAAAACAGCCACAAAATATATCCATGTTGACAATTAATGGTAATGTGATAAACAAGTAGAAAAATATCAGTACTTAGGAACTTTGAACAATGAAACCAAGATCACACCGCAAAATAAACAGGAGAATAAAGATTGCCAGATCTGTGTTTATACTAATGAAGCCACTCTTAACATGCAGAAATCTTAATTTGGAAGTCAGATTATGTACCATTCAATGTTATATATTTTCAATTTTATTATATGTAGCAGAGATATGAACATTTTTTTATCATACTTTTAAACATTTCTTATTTATATTAAGTAATTTTTTACATTTTGACTTTATTCATTTTTATATTGTTGATTAATCTCCTGTTATTCTTTATTAGATTTTGTTTTATTTTCCTGTTTTGGTTTGATTTTCTATTTATGTCCACCATCTCATGGTAACTAAATATAGAATTCAATTTTAGATTGTTAGCTATGATCACATCACATCTATTGTGGTTTCATATAATGTAGTTATTTTATTGGTTTGTTTCTTTACACAGTACAGTTTAGAGATGTTGCTCTGTCTATATTTATTTGTGTGTATTTCTTTTTTAACCCATTAGATTCAATAAATGGTTAGATGGATGAGTAAGGTGACAATAAAGGATTAAATTAAGAATGCATATATTAGAAGCCTACAGGTGGCACCAATTGATGCCAAAACGAGAGAGCATTGTTAAGATGGTTAGGGCATGTTGAATGCCAAAATCATAATTACCCAATATGAAGAATTGCTAAGTTGCAAGTTGCTGGAACAAGTTAGAGAGGAAGATCAACGAAGACCTAGCGAGGGATGCTGAAGTTATAAATGCCTGTAGAGATTATTAATATTGGTATGACCAAGATTTGTAAATTTAAGATAAAGTGGTTGCTTAGCCTGATAGACTTTTCTACACATTGAGCTGAAAGATTTTTTGTATTTCCTAAATCTATGTTTGTGGCTTTCAAATAAGCCTTGTCATCCCCAGTGAGGGATGGTGAGGTAAGAGATGCCTGTGGAGATTATGATATATATGATATATGATCATATGTAACTTCATTTGTGATCAATTACTTGTATTACTTTGTTAATAGTTTTTTCTTGTGATTGTAATTATACATACATCATCTTCTTTGTGTGTCATGCCTGTTTTCAAGCTTTGGCTATTGTCATGTTAACAAGTTGCTGAAATACTTCTCGGTCTTCTTGACAGTCTGCCAGTATGGTTGCATTATCTGTGTATCTGATATTTTAATAATTTCATCACTGATTTTAACACCTTCGCTACAGTTGTTTAACACTATTTTAAACACTGATTCAGACTAGGCATTAAGTATCAGTGACATAACACATCACTGTCTAACGCCATGCATAATAGGAATTTTAGCTGAAATCTCACAATCCATCTTAATGTAAGTGGCCTTATTGTAGTAAAGATTTTTGAGCAATCTGATGTCATACATATCCAGAGCATTGCGAGGCATAATACAAAATGATTATAGACAGACAAAAATAAATATGAAGTATCAGCAAAATGAAATGAACAAACTTGCTGATATCATGACTATCAAAAAAGATACAAAAATCTGTTTAATAAAAGAACCAAAAAATGCTTTGCCAAAAATACCTAATACAGCAATAGATGAAAGAACAGCTATCACAGAACAAGACATTAAGGCAGCACTTTAACAAACTAAACCAGATGAAGATCAAATTTGAATTGAACTGTTCAAATAATAGAAACATTTATTAAACAACTTTAAAAGTTGTACAGAAGATCATTAAACAAAATAGAATTGCTAATGAATAAGGAAAAACACTAATGTTTAATAAAAGATGGGAAAGGTAATAAAGACATACAGAAAAAATAGGAAAAGGTAGAAATATAAATGAAGCACCAAAGTAGAAATCTGATAAAGAAAAAATAAAAAAATATTCATCATGCTATGATTCATCCAATATTGATGTATGAGTCAAAAGAGTATAAAACCTAATATAACTGGAGTTTTTCTAAATAAAATATTCAGCATTGTTCAGAAAATGTTTGGGTGTTACCTAAAATTTTTAAACACATCAATTTATTTAAATTTTTGTCTTAAATTTTGTAGTCATTTTAATCAACAAATCTCTACAAAACATTTACAATTTCCAAACAGGAGAGGGTCAATTTATAAGTCCTCCTCAACTTTCTTTTAAAGGATTAAAATTTCCAAGCAGCAGAAGATGTTTTGCAGATTGTTAATAATTTTAGTTAAGATTAACAGGTTGTGTTTGCAAAGTCCTGTGATTATAACATGCAGAATTGTTAATTCTAAAAAGCGTTAGTAAATGGTTAGTAATGAGTGAACTCATGTAGTAAAAATGTCACAAACATCTAATTTTACTCCTGTGTAATTAAAGTGCATTTAACTGTGCCAATGAAAACTTTAGTGTTCAGGTATGACCGGAGTTGGACAAGCAACTATTTATAGTTTTAAATCAATGATAGAGTGGAGGTATTACAGAAGCACCTAAAATGTCAATAAAGAAAACCCATTTGTACAGATGATACTGTGAAACAATCAATTCAAAGAAAAGTTCTTTCATTTTATTTACAAAAAAAGATTCCTAGTTTGGATAACTATCCTTTATTGGAAACTTTATCCAAAAGTTTTAGCAGACATTAATGAAGACGAATCTTTGCCAAAAATGAAAAGATGTAAATTGTGGAAAACTTGACATGAATTAGGATTTGTTTATGAGAGCAACCATTGAAATGAAATTTTAATATTAATAATAA